TTTAAGGGTGTCCATATGTATTCTGGATATCAATCCTGTCTTGTTTTTTTTTGTTTGTTTGTTTTTTTTTTTGGTTTTTCTCCGGTACCAGGAACCGAACTCACGACCTTGCGCTTGCCAGGCAGGCGCTTTTGCCGCTGAGCTAAATCCCCAGCCCCAATCCTGTCTTGTTTTAAGGACGGTCAATCTCATTCCTTGCAATAGTTAAACTCTATGAAATCAGTACAAACCCTGAAGTAGCAAGAACTGAATCATTGCTCTCAGGAGAAACACAAGGTTGGTTCCTATGTGTGTCTGCTCACAGTGTTTTTGTCAGCTGATTAACACATAATTTTGGTTTCTCTGTTTTTAAAGGCACCTTATTTAACATATTTATTCATTTATTTTGGGGTTTTTGTTTTCCAGTACCTGGAATCAAACTCATGACCTTGTGCTTGCCAGGCAGGCACTGTGCCACTGAGCTAAATCCCCAGCCCCTATTTTTTTATTTATCAACATTAAACTTACAGCCAACAGCATGGTAACTTGTGCCTGAATCAAGTTTATCTAACACACGGGTTTTCTCTGCAAGGCACAGTTTTAGATGGCACTTCAGTACCACGCTTGGAGACCTTTTATTTATTTTATTTTATTTTATTTTATTTTTGTCTTTTTGAGACAAGGTCTCGATATAATGTTCAGGTTGGTCTTGAACTCATTTTGTAGCCCAAGCTGGTCTCAAACTCACAACGCTCCTCCTGCCTCAGCCTCCTGAGTGCTGGGATTACAGGCGTGCGCCACTGCGCCTTGCATGGAGACCGTTTTAAACAGTGAAATCATGAACAAAAATCACAAAAATGTGTGCTGAACGTTAACTAGAAACGTGAACCTCAAATGGATTGCCACTCTGCCCATGTCCTCGGGAGGGCCTCAAGTATTGATTTCAAGGTTACACATACTTGCTGGTGAGTAGGCAAGTTTGCAAATAAGGGGTCAGAATAATGAGGACTGATTGTGAGTATATGTAGATATTTATATTTATATCGATCTTTACAGTCCATCAGTTGTTTTTTGCCTTTATATGTGTACCTTTCATATTATTTGCATTTGAGGGAGGCACGCTTGCCACTTTGTTCATTATGCCTGGGTTTTCCCCCTGTCCCACTGTTGCCACCTCCCAGGAATTCCTGCTCCTCCTGCTTCCCGGTGCTCAGCAGCAGCGGGCTGATCCCTGCTGGCCGTCATCAGGTCTGGGAAAGTTTCTTGGGCTGTCACTTGTTGCATTTTTATTGTTAAATCTGAAAAGCAATCTTTTACAAGTAATAGCATTCAGCCCTGCCTTCCTCCGAGGCTCAGCACTGCCCACCCTGCCCTCTTCCTCCTCCCCGAGGTTTGTGGCCCTTGCAGCCTCCACTTAGCTTCCATTCTTCCCCCATCCTGGGGGCCACCTTCCCTACAGTGCCCCCTATTACTGACCCAGGCACTGCCGGGCCAGGTCTTCCTCCGTCGCGCCCACACACCTTTCCCTTTATCTGCCCGGCGGGGGGATACCCGTCCTCCTCTGTTTTGCCTACTCAGTTTCTTCACCAGCTTGACAGTAATCACTGATGCACTTGGTGTCAAACAGTGTTGTCCTTAGTCATCTACTTGCACAGACTCTGCGTGGTGGGCAGAAGAAAGAACATGACTAGGAGCAGGAGGGCTGCATTTTACCTCACCCTGTGTTAGCTATGGCACTTTTGGCAAGTCACCCAGTCCTTCTCAATCTGTAAAATGGGAGATAATAATAGTTTTTTGTTGTTGCTGTTGGAACTCAGGATTGAATGCAAGGCCTTTGCACTGAGCTACATTCCCAAACTTTACCTTTTTTTTTTTTTTTTTTTCTAAATACAGAGTCTTGGCCAGGTGTGGTGGCGCACACCTGTAATCCCAGCACTCAGGAGCCTGAGGCAGGAGGATCATTTCGAGTTCAAGACCAGCCTGGGCTACAAAGTGAGCTCAAGGCCAGCCCGACCAGCATAGTGAGACAAAAATAAATAAATAAATAAATACTGACTCTCTCTAAGTTACCCAGGCAGGACTTGAACTTGAAATTCTCCTCCCTCAGTTTCTCCAAGTGCTGGGATTACAGCAGTGTGTCACCATGCTCCGCTTCAGAAATATCTTTTGCTAATAGGGATGTGTATGTTTCACAGCTTCTTGAAGAACATTGTAACAATGTATGAAAAAAACAAACAAACAAACACATTTATGTGCATGCCTGTAACCCTAGCACTTTGAAGGCTAAGGCAGGAGAATCGCTGTGAGTTTGAGGCCAGCCTGGGGCATGGAGCAAGACCTTGTCTCCAAAAAAAAAAAAAAAAAAAAAATTGATGAAAAAGCAACTCCTGGGGCTAGGGATTTAGCTCAGTGGCACAGTGCCTGCCTGGCAAACGTGAGGTTGTGA